GTGAAGATAAAGACATGGAAAAGAACAGAATTGCACTGCCGGCTTTGTTGCGCGTGGTCATAGCGCGCCTGTGTGTTCACCATGCTGCAATGACTTGCTGATTTGACTGCCGGGTTTCGTCTGTGAGGCTGTACACTAACCGGTAGGGTTAGATTTGTAGTTTTGGTTGTGTCAGGGACTAACCGCATGTGCAGTCCTAGGGGAAATTCGTGAGCGACATATCTGTAAATTTGGAAAACTTGCAGACCCGAGTTCCCTAGAGCCTACACTGCGAATAGCAGGCCCGGACTATGACTAGGACGGGAGGCCCTCGTGGCCTTGGCCCGTAGCAGCGGTCCTATAGCCTATAGCTGGGTAGCTAGAGGCCCAAACTGAAACGGTACCGGTCAGTCCTAGTCTAGGTAGTGTCTAGTTCTATTAATAGATTGTGGTAGGTCTGTTTAGGACTTTTGGCACTTTTCATTCTTCAGCGATACTACGGGGAAGGGAGCCCAGGGAGGAAGGTGACGATTGACTGCAGGCACGGTATCCTGCATCCCTCGTCGTGGTTGACGGCCATAGGCAGACTTACAGAGCTTGTCATAGCTGGGGTGCCCTCTGAGCACTCACCGCTGAGGGTGATTGCAATTGTCTGGGCTATCAAGAGTCTCTACATAGCGGTTTGTGGGTGGACTGCTGCTCCTGCTACTTCGTCAGGGTTACCTGTGCGGCAGAGACAGTGGTGCTGCAGCCATAGCTGCAGCGTTCGTCGTCAGAGTTCCTCTATCGGCACTGAGGACTTCATTGCTGGTCTTCTTCTGCATCTCGGCGGTTGGCGCTGGCCTCAGAGAGGAAGATTTGGTGTAGCGCAACTAACTGGTTGTGCGTGTGAGAGTGGAGTGTGAAGTTCTGTAGTGGCGAGATACTGGGATAAACTCTGTAACGATTATTGGTTCAGATTGGCTCAATCTTAGTTACGTTCTTTTGTTATCCTCGCCGCGTCTTCCTATGATTGGTTGTTGGGAGTATTGTCAGAGGGTGAGAAACACTCTGTGTGGTCTCCACACCTGTGCATAATTGTTTTCCGTTGCCTACTCCGTGTGTGTGCAGTGTGTACTCTGTCTCCTCTCCCCTTCTTCTTATGCACGTATGGGCATGTGTGAGATTGTCTGAGTGCGAGTGCTGATTGAAATCGACAGACAACCAACGTCATAACAATGCACTGGTTCACATCATGTGCGTCTTTTTCCTCAAAGTCAAATGTTCAACAGCGCACGGTGGTCTTATTTATGCACCGACGCCTTGTGGCAAGCCTTGTTTGTTGTTGGCAAAACATGTTGCAGTGGGTGGACTCCGGAATTTCTGACAGCCCACAGTTCCTTTTTTTTTTTTCCCAACAAACACAGGCCCTTCTATTCTGGGGCGGATCAGTCCAGTTGCTCATCACCGGCAAGCAAATGTTTCTGAAAGAGCAGTGGGGGAGAATAGACAGAGAAAAGCGTCAGCCTAGCCCACGGTTCCTTCAACAATTATGTTTGCATTTTGTGCATTTTATTTCAACTACATCACCCTGGTGTAGAATTTGTAGCCTACCATCATCGCATTAATGGTTTGCATACTTCGCCACAGATCAATACAACAGGGCACACTTCACACAACACAATATACAATTTGGATTTGTTTACTGGCATTCCAACGCATTACGGAAAAGTCTTATGCAAATGGAGACATGTCAGGTGCGGCTAGTGTGTTTGTAAACTACTCAACGATGACCCACTGAAAAGCATTATCTTCAGACTCTGCAAGATCTTTAAAACCCATTCAAGGTAATGCCTGCAAACCAACAGAGCTGCTGCATCAAATGCAGAACGCAATGTGGTGCTAGAATCCAAACAGAAGCCGCCTGCCCGCAGCCGGCTCCCAACAACACCACGCAGCCAAATCAAGGGCAGGAGATCATAGCAACTACTTACCTGCCTCTGAATCGAGGAGTTCGTCATATCGAACCAGCACTTTAGTGTCCTTCACCCGCAGCACAGTCCCGCTGAACCAGCACCAACGTAGACCTGGCTCATCTGTTATGACCTGCAAGCAACATTTTCCATCAGCACCTGCCACAGTCCCCTTGATCACAGCTTACACCTTCAGACAAAAATAGACTACACTATATTCCCATTCAAGAAGACCATGGGATGTCACACAACCACTAGCGAGCGACACTCTCAATCAGCACCTGCTCCTGTCCACTCTATCACAGTTTAACTCAGGAGTTTCCAGACAAAATTCAGTATACTCTCTTCCCCGTCAAACAAGACCGCTAGCAAGCAAGCAGCCTGCACATCAGGATAATGTGCATCATCCTGTCCAAATCGCAGTACCGGCTGTGCATTCTACCTGCAGTGAGAGAAAACACTCCGATGACATAATCCCAAATCACAATCACTATCACTCGATTCACTACCGACAACATCAATGCACTTGCGCATCCCGACATGGCAAGGTATACACAGAAACCCACAAGCATAGACAAGCAGAGAAGACGCGGTGAAAGCCTGTGACCTGATTACTACCCACAACAGGACAGATAGAGCCATAACAAGACACACACAACTGCATAAGAATGTTCACGTCTTTCAAAATGGCCCCAGGGGACAAGATAAGGAACACATAGTGTCAATGAACTGCATACCCAACTCGGTTAGCGTACTACGATTTTCGCCTTCAACTCAAGAAGGCCATGAATTGAGCATATACAAGCATCTTACGTACTTTTTGTGTGACTTACTTGCGGAAAAAAAAAAAAGAAAAGGCACCAGATGGGGTGAAAGTTTGAACACTTTCTGACGGTCTGACACCATGAAGCCACAGTTTGCCAAAGGTGGTGAACCCCTCAAATGCCACCAGACGTATCGCTGCAGATAGCTTACAGGTTCTCTCCCTCACGTCCACCAACAAACAAGAATCCGAGAAGGTTAAAAGGGTGAACCCCTCATATGCCACCAGACGTATCGCTGCAGATAGCTTACAGGTTCTCTCCTCACGTCCACCAACAAACAAGAATCCGAGACGGTTAAAAGGGTGAAGAGGACACAAAAACAGTCGTCTGTAACACAGTTTCATCCCGGAGGTGTGCCACCTAGCTTCCCTTCCCATGTGAGCACCGGGCACTGCCGTCGGCAAGGCCATAAGCTCCCTCAGGAGAACCTCGTCACAATAACACTGTTGCATACTCGTGAAACATAGTCATAAGTATGGCGCAGATTCCCAGAACCAACCAGATAATACAGAGCAAGTACAATTACAGCGGAAGACTTGATACACATGGACTGACTCAAACCTGACTCAGACTGCAACGAATCCCTCACAAACATACATCGGTGGTGTGAAAGCCCTGGCCTTGGACATGGAAGAAAAGGCCAGGGTCAACTCTCATACACAGATGAATGGAGGGGAGGAGAGACGAAGGGAGGAGGAGAGGGAAGATGACGTCAACTCAATGTTTCCAAAAATAGTATATGGAAATGTCAGAATTAGCGAAAATAAGAATGTCGCAAATACAGAGTCTCACGGTGTCTCAGATATCGATATCACAATGTCAAGATACATCTCCAGAGGTAGATGAAGTCAGATCCCAAAAGTAGTCCTCAACCTGCAGTCCCAATGTTGCTATCTCCAATATCATCAGAACTCGTAACCATTTTTCGTACTCGTAGTAGTCCAGTAGGAATAACCCAAGAGGTAAACTTAGACTTAGAGGGCAGGAGGAGAGAGAGAGAGAGAGAGGGGAGAAGGAGAGAAGGAAGAGGGAGGAAAGGCGGAGCCTTTCTCCCTGATACCTGACTGGCCGCGCTGTCCCTGCTGATGTCCGCTGAGGCCGAGCCTGGCGGTGCAGCTATGGCGCTGCAGTGCTGGGCGCTGGGCTGCGGGCTGAGCCAGAGGGCCGCCGCTGCTTGCTGCTGCTGCGCCAATCCTTCTCTCTGCTGCGCTAATTCTCCCTGCTGCTCCGCTATGCCAACCGAAACGCTGTACTAACCTGTAGACTAACCTCCCTACGGAGGCTGGTACCCAGCTGATATAGTGCTGGGCCGGCCTCAGTACTACTGGTGCCTTCGGGTCTGGACCATTGATCAGCCCCAACAGTTTAGATCCGATTCCGAAATCTGAAAGTAAAGTGGCGCCTAAACTGCGCTGCCGGCCGGTCCAACCGATGGACCGGTACCTGGCCTAACCCAACTAGCCGTTGGGTCTGGTGGGGTCTAAACTAGGCCTACCGGACTCTAATCTGAACCGACGGCTCCTAGGCCTACCTGGACCTAGCTGGGACCGTCGTGACCCGGTACCTACTACAGAACCGGGCACTAACTGGGGCCCGTGCCTACTACAGAACCGTGCACTAACTGGGGCCCGTGTGGTATCAGTATGCCACAAACACCATCTGCAAGAGCACCACAAGAGACCCACTCCACTAAAGAGTACCTCCTTGCCAACCATACTACAGGAACGTGAACTCGAGCACACAGGAAAACTCCTAGAGGCTGCAGCATTATCCCTCAACAGTACAGTACTCCACCTTTACTTGACTGGTCTTTCGAGGAGTCTGCTGAAGGACAGTTGCCGCTTTAAACAAAGTCCCCCGGACATACCAAAGATTTATACGTCAGCACTTCATGTCATGAAAGACCACACGTCTCAACAACGGAAACCTGCAGAAGACACTTCCCCCCAACAAAGCAAGAGGAACAGAAAGCTTTGTCACAACAAGCTGAGTGGCCAAACGGGCTTAACATGAGCAGAGTATGGACTGGATGGCATTGCATGTGTTTGTATGTGTCTGCGACTCTGCATGCATAGACAGCGGACACACTACCACCTCCTCCCCCTCACCCAATCGCCCTCCCTTCATGGCCTCTTCTCTTTATGTTTAAGCATGTAATTCTAGCATTATCACCGACTTGTTCTCACAGGGGCTTACCTCAACAAGATCACCATCCTTGAGTTTCGGGCTCAAGTGCCCTGGATCCACAGGTGAAACTTCAGACGTCATGCTGAGACTGTTCATCACCCCTGAAACCCTCTTCTTCCCTTTGCCATCTTCAGGGGATGGGATTACTTCTGATGAGGACACTGGCAGCGCTAAAACAAGCCGCACCCCTCCCGAGCGTGTAGTGTCTCCACCCTCACTGTCATGCACAGGAACTGGCGACAGTTGCATGTCAGGAGCAGCTCCAGCCCTCCTTCGAACCTTCTGCACACCCGGGCGGCCATCCTTGACAGCAACCATCTTCTTCCCCCTTCTTTTGCCACTCATAGGTTTTCCATGGTCTCTTCCATTTTCATATTCCTTCAGCAAAGCAGGCTCTTGTTTCTCCCTCTCGTCAATTGGATTCGCCCACTGACTTCCATCCAGCCCATCGTACGGACCATGGGCTGCACGTATCTTTTCTTCCATTGCCTGTACAGCTGCCATAGCAGCCATGACCGCACCCTCTTCTCCGCCGCCATCCACCAATTCTTCATCATCCCCATCATCATCATCTTTCTGTGAACACTTCACTCGCAACTCATTCCCTGCCGCCGTGGTTAGCTGAAGATTTCCTGTCCCCAATATATCAGCTTGATGGTCTGTTGGCTGTGCGCTTACCAAGTGCCCTGCCCCAGGATCAGGTGGGTCTATTGCGCTGTGTTCTATTAGCTCAGCTTTCGAGCGCATCTGCTCCCTCAAGGAAGTAAGGGCCTTTGCTTTCACTCTCTTCTGAGCCCTCGTACTCTTCCTCTCGGTTTCGTCATCTCTACCATCCTCATCCTTCTTCACTGATGACTCATCCAAACCATCTCCTGCAGACTTGCCTTTGGGCGCCGCCCTCCCGTCCATCTCTTCAATAAGGGGAGTTCTTCGAATCCTTCTCCGAGTACTGAGCTTTTGCCTCTGTGATAGAGCTGAACCAGGAAATAAACATAAACATATCACTTAATCGATCCGTGCTGCAGTCCTTATGACCCCACAACAACCATAACCACCGCGGTCCTTTCTCAGAAAGAGTACAGGGCCATTACAACCCTCCCTCTGCGAGAAGGGGGCTAACAACTAACATCATTACATCCATCACGATGTGAACCTGTGGATCTGTTTATCAACAGTTACATGTTGTGTACCAATCAGTCATAAGCCAGGTCAGGTAAGATCGGATTGAGGTAAGAAACGGTGGTCATTACGAGTCAGTATATCTGCAATCAGGTCAAATTTCACGGTAAGATTCATCAGTAATACCACATGAGCAGAACACAGCACCTTAATACAAGCACAACAGATCCCTTGATAAGCGGGCCGCTGCTCACACAGAGTCTAAGCATAGGGCAGGCAGAATAACAGCTCCCCTCAGCACGCTAAACAGATTCCGTTCTTTGAAAAAGAAACTAGAAAAATTCTATGAAAACCACCACTGCCAAGACAGAACATAAGGATCTTCACCTCCAAGCACAACAGATCCCTTGATACGCGGGCAGCTCCTTACATAGTCTGAGCATAGAGAAGGGAGAATAACAACTGGGTGCAGGGCAGGATTCTTCATTCATGAGGCATGCTGGGTGCAGGGCAGGATTGTCCTTACCATGCTGCAAAAGACATGATCCACCATAAAGAAGGAAAAAGATGGGAGAAAAGTGAGAAGACAGCAAAAGGGAGGAGACCGTCTGATGCATCACACATTTCCAGCCCACAATGCCACAATTCTTCAGAAAGCCCTGGCATGCCCCACTCGATTCCAAAGCACAACCTGGGAACTATTTCGACTGGAAATGTTTAACCAAGACCAAAGAATGTCCTGTGATGCCCAACATATGGGAAGTAAGTTTGGATTTCAAACAATTTGTGCGACAGCAGAGACAAGAGGATGGAAGGGATCCATTTTTCTTTCCTGCAGGTGTGCAGGAAGGAGTGGAAAGGGAAGGTATGGGATCAGCTGCACCTTGCAGGTCTTGAGTCAGAGGCAGGGCAACAGGGGAGACCCAAGTCAACAGTATGAACCCTTTTGTTGGATACAAACGAACCTATCTCGTTCATTTCATAGTACACAGAAAGAAGCAGAGAACATTAGAAATTATCACATCAGATGGTTCCATCATGCTTACCATCAGCATCACCTGCGGGAGGAAGCAGACTTCCAGCACTCATTTCCTCTCCAACAGGGTTTTCCCCATCCATGCTAAGTAACATAACAAGACATGCACAAACACAATCACTGTAAGTAAGCATCAGCATCACAGAGGTATTCTCTCAGCAAACACGTTTTCGAAATTTCACCAAACTTCGTCGCATGCATTAAACCACCAACCGTCTGAGTCCGTTCTTCCAATGCACTGTGCTGCACCTGTCTCTTATACACATCTAGATGTGTATAA